TTCCAACAAGCGGGACTGGCCTAGGATAATTTTTAAGAGGGGTTTTTTAGAGGGTTTTTAATTACTTTTTAATTAGACAATTTAAATATTTCATTTTAATTAATTTTAACTTGTGATTGTTAGTGGTGTTTTTAATTGATTGTCAGCCACCCTGAGTCCGCAAGGAGAAGGGCGGGATATAAATTCAAATAATAAATAAATAAAATAAATAAATAAATACTGTTTGGCAAGGATCTCATGGTTCTCCTGACCTGCCATGCTTGCCTCTGCTTCAACTCCCCCCACCTGCCTATCTTCCCCCCCATCTCTGCCCTTTTGGTCACCTTGCACTCCACCCCTGCTGCTTTCCCCATTGCCCATAGCTGCCCCCAGTTCACCTTCACCATCTTCTTCCTCCCACTGCTGCCCCTGTACCTCATGGAGTGCAAGACAACCAAAAGGGCAGAGATAGGGGGAGATAAATGGGTGGAGGGAGTTGAAGCACGTGTTGCAGTCATAAATATGGGCAGGCTGCCAAGCACCCAAATTTTGATCACATGACAGCAGGGGCATTGCAATGGCTGTAACTTCAAGCATCAGTTGTACCTACCATTCATTCAGTACCATTGTAACTTCAAAGAGTTGCTGAACAAATGATCATTAAGCTAGGACTACCTGTAAGTTGTATCTTTAAAATGATTTCTACTGATCCCATTTTATATAAGTTTTATCTTTTGCAGTCCTCTCTGTGACAAGGTCATAGATCTGCCCTCCCTTCTAGCCTTCTGGAAGGGCCTTAAAACCTGCCTCTGCCGTTTGATTTCGGGGCCCAGTGGAGGCGCTCTAGGCTGGAGGTGGTTGGTGCAGTGACAGAGAAGGCACCACCTCTACTCCACTCGAATCCTTGCTTTTTAGTCTGTATTTAACTCTTTTATCTGTATTTAACTCTTATAATTTAAAAAATGTTTATAATTGTTTTTATACTTATTGTTCTTATATTTTTTTACTGTATTGTAAGCCACCCAGAGTTGCTTTGGATAATGAGATGGGCGCCATATAAATGCAATGAATAAATAAAAAACTGTTTATAGTATGTCACGAGAGCGCTTGTACTCAACATAGTGGCTGCTACACCTAGTCCCTGCTTCCTGATATGTTTTCTGTAGAATTTCCAGGATTACATCCTGGTCCCTAGATAGATAGAAAGACAGATAGAAAAAGAGATTACTGTTAATCTGAATTTGGAACCATCCCTGCCTCCTCTTTATGTCTTCAATCTCAGTGCTAGTTCAAATTAAATTTATGGTTGATTGATCCAACAATTACATGTAGTCCTCAACTTACAACCATTCATTTAGTGACCGTTCAAAGTTACAACGGTACTGAAAAAAGTGACTTATGACCATTTTTCACACTTACTGTATGACCGTAGCAGCATCCTCATGGTCATGTGAACAAAATTCAGACACTTGGCACCTGGCTCATATGTATGACGGTTGCAGTGTCCTGAGGTCATATGGTCACATTTTGTGACCTTCTGACAAGCAAAGTCAATGGGGGAAGCCAGATTCACTTAACTACCGTGTTACTAACTTAACAACTGTAGTGATTCACTTAATAACTGTAGCAAGAAAAGTCATAAAATGGGGCAAAACTCACTTAACAACTGTGTTGCTTAACAACACAAATTTTGGGCTCCATTGTGGTCATAAGTCGAGGACTAGCTGTATGTTGTGCACCATATTCATAACATTAAATAATTCACAAGCAAAATCAAATAATCAAATTAAAAAACATACTTTACAACCATATATGTCTACTACACAACATAATTTGACAGAGCCATTTATTTTTATATAAGTACAGTAGCTCTTAAAATGCAAAACAACATTACTCTAGAATTGATCCAATATCCAAACTTAATTAACGTTTGAATGAGAATGAGCTTTCTGAATCCAAATAATAGTAATAATTATGGGTAGTGAAAGAATTGCAAAAGATAGCTCATAGACTGAGTATAATCAATACTTCTCTTGGATATCTAATCTGAAGTAGCTGTTGGATGGTGTGGTTTTAGGCAATTTTAGTTTTTCCATCTTTGCCTGTTTTTTGAAATGACATTCATAAATATTCAGCATAGTGGTTGGAGTTAGCATGTCTTGGCATCATTAGGAAGTGTGGCTTGTGCTGGGACTATTTTACCTAGGGCTTTTTGTACTCCCAATCACATACTTCTTTCCTTAAACCTCACTCTCCCTTGTATACTACACATATTCCCTCTTCTTTTCCTAATTCTAAATTTGTTAGTTTTTTAAGGTCTTAAAGCTAGTATGTTAGTCTTTCAGATGCTACACTATTCTTCATTGTTCTTGACAAAGTAAAATACAATGAGTTCTTATCCTAGGTGTGAGAAACTGGCTGAAATCATTTGCCAGAACCGTCAACAAGTATGCCGTGCAGAACACCTATGCCAGCAGCTGCCTATTCCTGGACCCATTGAAGAGATGTTAACAGATCTTAACACCACCGTCACAGACATAATTTCTGCCTTAGTCACTAGGTAGGGTTGTGTTGTTGGATCATGCTTACTTTCTACAGAGAGCCTTTATTATTACAGTGAATTGTTGTGTGTTCAAAGAAACAAAAGGTTTGTTTACTGAAATGGGTGGAAGTTGCTGCATACATTCTATATCATGGATTCAACCATCATTTGCAGAACTATTATGTTCACAATGGGTGAACGCTTGGATTATATTACAGGGTTTACTTTCTGCTGTTAACATTCTGTAGAGTCTTGATGAAAAGAGTGTATTGTTGGGTTTCTAGTGTTCGCTGAGTTTGTTTTTTTCTTGAAGTCATTTCATTTCCAGGCTAAAGAACAACTTCAGTGCATAGGGGAGTGATGTTTGCTAGCTATTTATATATGGTAGCTAGTCCTACCAGCCTTGATTAGGCTATTGCATCTTCCTTGATTGTTTCTGTTTATCTGGGTGTTAACAGGCCTTTGTTTGAATTTGTCAAAGAAATTGTCTTCTGTCAGTTGATGTTCATTGATGCTTACTGCCAATCTTCTTACCTGTTTGTCCTACATAGTGTCAAGGTCCCATCGGATCCCAGTTCAGAGGAGGAGGAGGAGTTGGAACTGGGACTGTCCGATGGGGATGACACGTCTCCTTTGGAATGTTTGGAGAGGCCAGGGGCTGAGGACGATGTTGTCCCAGGCCCCTCAGGCATTGGGGGAGGTGGTCAGCTGGACGGAGAGCTGCCTACCCTCACAGATACAGGGGAGGATTGGCTGGAAACAGGCAGTGGTGCTGAGAGGCAGCAGATCCCCTCTGATGAGGAACAGCTGCCTCCCCCACTCGATCCAAGGGCACAAAGAGTAGAGTGGAGGCAAGCTCAAAGGAGGGCTGCGAGGCTACTCGGGAGAAGGTCGCCCTGCCCCTCCTCACAAGGAACACCTGGTGTGGGTTGACTTAAGGAGAAACTGGGGGAGTTTGTCTTTGTCAGGAACAATTGTTTGCTTTGGCTTACACTCCCCCAGCTTTAGAAAAACTCAGCCTTGACTCTTGTTTCTGCCTGTGCCTTGCCTTTGCCTTGTGGACTGCCTTTTGCCTTGTGGACTGCCTTTTGCCTCATGGGCTTGCCTATGGCCTCGTGGACTTGCCTGACCCTGTGGAATTGCCCTGCCCTTTGGACCTTCACTCTGGACCTTGCCCGTGAGCTTGCACCTTTTCTTTGGACTTCCTTTCTGCCTTTGCAAATTGATTTTGGTTGTTTACTGGCTTTTGTTTGTGAAACTGAGGGGGGCTGCCTTCAGGGAAGTGTGGGGTGGAGCCTTACTGGCCGTTGCAGGGCTGTTTGTTGTGGCAGTTAACAGAGCAATAAAGGACTCTATCAATGCCTGCTTCTGCCTAGGCGACCTGGGTATAACACATAGTTTTCACAATCCTTGCATTATGTGTTATAATATGGTGGCATGGTAGCTCAGTGGCTTAATGATGCTGGAGATGGTCTCTGCTCCAGCATTTCGAGTCCTAGCACTGTGTGGCGGGGTGAGCTCCCGTCATTTGCCTCAGCTTCTGCCCACTAGCAGTTTGAAAGCATCTTCTATGCAAGTAGATAAATAGGTACCACTTTGGTGGGGAGACAAGACGGTGCTTCATGCGGCAGTTAGAATCCTGCTGGCACTGAACCTTCCTGGTTGCGACGCCCATTTGCGAGGTGGCTTTGGTGGAGGGATAAGGGCCTTGGATGATGCTGCAGGAAAAGCAACTTGTCTTTCTTTCTGGTGCAAAGGTAGCTCACCCACCTGTGGCACACTGTGGGAAGCGTGCAAGCGTGCACCTAACAGCTGGTAAACAGGCAAACTACTACTCTGCATTTGCATTGTAGTCTCCTGGCTAATGTAATAATGCCATACAATCAATCAATCAATAAAATGTGTTATAAATTGGAGCACCAATTGTATCTAGCCAGGTCCCTAACCTTTATTGCCAGTGAATCCAACAGGTACTCTGCCTCCCCTATGGCATACTTAAGTTTTGAAGGGCCTTTACTCTGGCAGATGTCATGTCCTCCCCTCAGCTGTCCTTGAAGGCCGATACAGAAGGTTTCCTACCCAGAGAGACAATGCCCCTATAACTCTGGAAATTAGAAACAACAGAACATGTACTTCTCCAGTGTATATACTACAGAGACATTTGTGTTAGTCTCATTTCACCTTTATTGCATAAAAACCCAGGGCACACAGGAATCTCCTTGCTGCTCTCAAATACCAACCCTACTACAATATACAGGGTTGCCTGGTTCTATGCAGCAGCATTTCAAATACATCAGAAGATGACCTGTGCCACAAATTAGTTTTAATGTCCACCTAGACCATCATTATAGAGTGTATTATATAATGATAGATTTAGTTTGCTGTGCTATTTATGCCCATTTATTACTTCTACCCCTTTTTTAGATTTTTTTTCTTAGATTTTTTAAAATACTTTTTACCTTTTTATGTAATTTTATTATTTTATTTTGTATTCTTTTCTGCTGTTAATTTCCTTGTACCCCACTCTCCTTATGCTGGTCTTTGACCATAGTAAAGGTTGTTTTGATTCGATTTGTGTTATAAATGACCCCTATTTTATCTTTCTTGGCTGTTGGGTCATTGGATTTTCTTAGGATACTTTGGATAGATTTTGTTGGATTATGGGCTCCCATAATGTCAAGGGGTTGTAATAATCCGTTGGTACCGTGTTTCCCTGAAAGTAAAGCCTACCTGTTCTATCCCAGCCTATTGCCGTCCTTGTTAAAGGCACAAGGACCAACCCCTGCTGATACAATAGGCTGGAAACGTTAAAACAAAACAAAATCCCTTTTATTTGGGTGACAATCCTGTCAATAAGTCCAAAACACAAACAGCAAACCTCAAGTCCAAAGGAAGGAAATAGTCCACAGGAACACGTTGCAAACAA